TGAAACTGGTCTGCATACTCCCTAAAATAAATATTAAACATGTTGTTATTTGTCATAAATGTCTGTCAAACACACTAATACATGTACATATTTATTATTGAGTTTACTATTATTTGTAATTGAAGAGAGCATGTGTTTGAAGGGTGATCAGAAAGTATGAAGACTTTTGCTTCGGTATTTGACGTGAGTTGACAATAAAGCTGTAAGTTATTATTTTTCTTAAATCAAGTTAACATCCTGAAAATCATTGCATTTTATGTATAATTTCCGAATTAATGCGACTATATACAAAACGGTGATGTCCAATATGTTCGCGTTGATGTTGCATGGCCGAATTTTTACAGGTATAAAATGAATACTCATGCAATATACTGTCTAAATTAGAAATTTTACCAAGTAGAACTAAACTAGCGAATTAAGAAACGTTACTTATTATTTCGATACCTGCTAAGATCAAGGTGTGTCGAGAAAATATACTTTAAAAATTCAAATTCTTCTTTGGAATCAACCATGTTTCCTCATATAACACCAGTATAAATGATCAAGGAAACGGAAACAAAGCAACTGACATTTCGAATGAAAGTCCTACAGACTCGTTTTCCCATTGATCTGAATTACACCAGTTTATGTAACCAACAACGACTGCGTAAAACACATATTTATCGTAACATTGTGACATTCTTATTTAAAAGTTAACATTCTAAGATCACTTACGAAGTTTGTTTATCTCAGTTGCAACTTCAGTTTTGTTGCTGGTCCAAAAACTCCCTAAAATAAATATTTAACATGTTGATAATGTCTGTCAAACACACTTATACATATCTTAAATTTTGTTGGTTATATGTGTAAAGATTATTTGACTTAAATTTAGAAAGCATGTGTTTGAGGGGTGATCAGAAGACTTTTGCTGGAACTGCAACTTTTTTAAACGTGAGATGACTATCAAACTTAGCGGGTTGTTTTATCGTGAAACTAAGTTAGCATCCCGAAATTTGTTTAATTATTACATTTATTCATATGTATAATATTCGAATGTATGCGAATATGCACCAGACAAATATGTCTAATATGTTCGTGTTGTTTTTGTTTGGATGGATTGACTTTATACGGGTAGAAAATAAATATTTATTCCAGATACCGTCTAAATTAGAAATTTTACCTAGTAAAACTAAACTCGCGAATAACGAACGTTACTCTTTATTTCTGTACCTGCTTAGATGTAGTAAACGACAAGAAAGTACAAATTAAAAAAAAAATATTTGTTTGGAAACTGTCATTTTCCTTATATTACCAGTATAAATGAACCAAAATAATTGGCATTTGGTAAGGAAGTCGAAAGGTCTCGTTAAACCATCAATCTAAATTAAATTAGTTTGTGTAACAAACAACAACAGCGTAAAACACACTTTCATAAAAAAAATTTGACATCCGTATTTAAAAGTTAACATTCTAAAATCACTAACAAAGTTTAATCATTTTGGCTGCATCTTGAGCGTTGTTAAATGACTTCAGACACCCTAAAATACACATAAAACGTGTTGGTGAATGTCACAAAATGTTTGTTAAATACACAAATACTTCTTGTACAGTTTAACTGATCTATGTTAATTATTGCTTTTGCTGAAATAAGTAAAACATTATTTGACATAAACTTTGAAAACATGTGTTTGAGGGATAATCAGGAGATATGAAGACTTTTGCTGGAACTGTAAAATCTGTTTTTGATGTGAGAAGACTATCAAGTTAAGGAGATTGTAGTTTTCGTTAAATCAAGTTAGCATCCTGAATGTTATTGCATAATATTTATAATTTTCGAATTCATGCTAGTATAACCAAGGCAGAGATGTCCAAAATGTTTGTGTTGTTGTTGCTTCAGTGCATTTTATGTAGGTATAAAAAGAATATTTATTCCAGGCACCGTCTAATTTAGAATTTTTACCTAGTTAAACTAAAGTAGCGAATTACGAAACTTTTCTTAATATCATTTCTGTTTAGATGTAGTAAATGTAATAAAGGTAACATGAAAAACTCTCTTTTGGGAAACAACCATTTTTCCTTTTATGACACCAATATAAATGATCCAGGAAACGGAACCGATGAAATGGAATGCATTGTTTGCTTTTCTAAACTATTGCGTATGAACATTGAAATTTAGTTATTTTAAAATATTTTAGGGATTTAAATCGTTTATCAACAAAAAGCATTGGTGTGTGGATGGCCTTGAATCAACCTTTCGGGACACATCGCTGATTTCCATTTACCCTTAAATTGCACGAAACGTCCAACAATTTTGACTTACTCAGAAACAACTTATGCAAGCAAAATATAATATTGATACCAATATTTACTTATTATTTTCTTTAGCCAAAATGTCTGAGGTGCATAATACGAAATTGTTTAATACATGGAAAGTTTAACATTGTCATTAAGATATTGTTTAATCTTTAAGATTTATTTTACTGCATAAAAACAGTACAAATTATTAGCTCGCCACCTTGTTTTGATATCATAACTCAACCAACTTGCTGCAAACACATTGTGCAAAATTTAAGGAGGAAAATTTGAATATCACAGATAAACATCACCTCTTATTGACCAAAGCAAATGCAATATAGTCGTGTTGTTGTACCTTGGGTGGACTTTATACAGGTGCAAAAGGAATATTTATTCAAGTCTAATTTAGAAAGTTTAAAACTTAACTATCGAATTACGAAAATTTTCAAATATTTCTAAACTTGCTAAGATGTAGTAAATAACAAGAACGTAAACATTAAAAGAAATTCAATACTGGTTATGAAACAACCATATTTTCTCATATAACACCATTATAAATAATCCAGGAAATAGAACCGAGGTAATTGAAATTTCGAAAGTAAGTTAAAAAGGCTCATTTAACCATTAATCTTAATTAATTTGTTCATGTAACAGTGTCAGCAATTTAATAATTTATAAACCAACTTTCATAGTTAATTTTGATATTCCTGTCTAAAAGTAAGCAGTCTAAGATCACTTACGAGGGTCGTATTTTTTCGACTGCATCTTTATCAATGGAACATGACCACGGAATCTCAAAAATATATATTTAACATGTTGTAAAATATCATAACTCTCTGTAAAACATACAAATATATATGCATATTTTCTATTGTATTGCTTATATGTGTAAAGAATTATCTAAATTTAGAAACCATGTGTTCGAGGGGTGATAAGAAAGTTTTAAGATTTGGCTGTAACTGCAATACCAATATTTGACGTGATATGACTATCAAACTTAAGCGGATTGTATTTATCGTCAAATCAAGTTAACATTCTGACAATTATTGCTCTTTTATATGTATAATAACCGACGTTTTGCGACTAAAAAAAGATGGAGATGTCCAGTATTTTCATAATGTCTTGGATGGTTTAATACAGGTACAAAAGGAATGTTTATTCAAGATACCGTCTTATAATAAAATTGTACCTAGTAAAACTAAACAAGCGAATTACTAAACGTTACGTGTTTTTTTTCTATACCTGCTAAGATGTAGTAAATGACAAGAAAGTAAACTTTAAAAAACATCCTATATATGTTTGGGAACAGCCATGTTTCCTCATATAACACCAGTATAATTGATCCAGGAAACGGAGCCAAAATAATTGACATTCGAATGGAATTCGAAGGGACTCGCTTAACTCGATTTGAATTACATTAGTTTATGTAACAAACAACGACAGCGTCAGCAAATCAATGAAACAAACTTTCATACTTATTCGCAGACATGCAATAAAGAATAAAGATTATTAAACAAGTGCCATGTAAACATGGCCATCCCCCGCCGAAAGTGTTTAATTTTTGTAGTATTCTTATCTCGTAAAATGATATGTTGTAAGGTTCCCTTTAGTAAATGGTATACAGCTGGCAGAACAATAAAGCTTATATAATCGCTCCTACGATACCATGCTAAAACCAAAAGAATGCTTATTAAGTCTTACTGAGGTCTGGTCTGGGTAATTCAATCGCTTCTGACATTTCTGAAAGGGTCGCTTTGTCCAGATCTTCTTTTCTGTTTTTCTTTTCTGCAAAAGAATCAACAACAAATCAAGTAATATTTTAGCCTTTTGTTGGCAAATGCATGGAATTATTAGTACATTATATCTATATAATTAAATATCAGCGTTTTACCTTGTTTTTACTATTTAATGTTTGCATCATGATAAGCAAGATACCCTTTCGTCTTGATTTTTTATACTTTTGCCTTGCATTTTTCCACAATATATGTCTCAAAAAAGATAAACAAAAAAGCTATAGAAGTTTCTTTACAAATAGATATTATCAAGTGGCATTAACGCATTCTGTTCCTTGATAGGATAATGAAATTGGGTTAGAATTTGTTCATTAGTGTCTCAAGAACTTTAAGCTTATGTTCTGATCTTGTATCACAAGAAGATCATGCTATTAAAAAGATTCACTACATAACAATAGGTACGATATTTTGTTGGTTCTTTACAATTCTTTGCTAAATTTGTTTAAAATGTGTAAATCAACATTTCATTATCACTAAATTGTTATTATCTTAATATTATTATCTTTAAATGATTATTTTATTTAAACATTTAGTATAAGTAGGGGGGGGGGCTATACATAGTGTAATGCAAATGTTTATCATTTCTTTTCTATTTTCTTTCTTTCATTTCTTTTTATGACATTTAATGTTTTATGTTCTTTTTAAATGAATTATGACATATTTCATAATGCTTAGATTAATTCAGGCTTTCAAGATTGATATGACATTCCTACACTACAAACATATAAATGATTCTAAATTCTCACCGGTCATTTGTTTGGATACTGTTGGCAATTTAAGTACCGGTTCGCTTGGAATATTTTGAACTTCTTCATACGCCTTTCCAGCCATATCTGCTATATAACTCTGAAAAGTATAAACAATAAGTTAAGATATTTTTTGGCTTAAGTTAGGCAGTATCTGTAAGTCAGGAATAAAATGTGATATCTTTATTTATTTCCTATCGATTTTTTGAACTTCTTCATACGCCTTTCCAGCCATATCTGCTATATAACTCTGAAAAGTATAAACAATAAGTTAAGATATTTTTTGGCTTAAGATAGGCAGTATCTGTAAGTCAGGAATAAAATGTGATATCTTTATTTATTTCCTATCGATTTTTTTCATCCATTTGATGTGCAAACACCAGACCTTTCTGCAAAACGAAAATGCTATGGAACTATGGCAATATGTTAACATATTTGTAACCTGTTATGTTTAACACTCCGAAACTACGGCTTTATCTGTCAATCAGAGAGATTATATCGAAATTACTTGGTTATACATTAAAATACAGGTTTAATTCAATCTATCACCATTTACTTAAGATACAGGGGTGTAATTTTATGCTGTCAACACTCAAACATTCTGTTTTGTCTGTGTAAATTATACTCATCGCTCTTCGTAAGATTTGCCAGTACCTTGGTTAAATTGTTGGAAATGACATTCCGTTCATGAAATAACCCTTCCGGGAATCGGTAAATCATATCATTCAGGTATCATGTTACATTTATACATTTCCTATCATTATTTGTGCTATAAATTTGCATAAAGATTTATTTTAAATACTGCTTTGAGTAATGTACATGCAATTTTATTTAAATTTGGCTCATAAAAAGTTTCATTGAGGAATTTCTGCAGAATTTTCCTGCAATTCCAGTATCGTTTAAGATAATTCAGCCTTGTCAGACATGTTTGTTTTTCACTCAGTGGGTGCAAATTGAAAGTAGGCCAAAATTCATATAAAAACAAAGCTCACAATTGTAAAAATAGCATTCCTTTACACTACAACAGACGTTAAACTACATTTTGCCATGATTCATCAAATGTGCATTAAACTTTATAAAAGGTTTTACTTGGTCTTCAGAAATTTAGCACATTCAAGGTTAATATTCTTATTCGTTTTAATTTTTGTTTATAAAAGTCCTTAACACATAGACATGGAAATATAATCGCAAATTGTTTATCACTGGAATGTTTTACATTGTGAGCTCTGTCGTTATATGAATTTTGGCCTACTTTCACTTTGGACCCACTTTGAGAAAACAATATTGCTGAAAATGCGGAATCACTTTAATGTAAAAGCGCAAGCGTGCCCTTGATCGTCGTCTTGTACGCTTAAAAATCATCTTAGTTGATCGACGTTATTCATTTCTAGAAATCCACGAATGATTTTGTTGTTTTCTTAATTGTTATAACCCCGGACAGAAACGAAAATGAAAGTAAGGATTGTGTTCGATGTTTGGATTCTTCAGTTGGAATTTCCGCGGTTCTTGTTTTATTTTTTATCTTCAACGAAAATGGATGCTGTTGGACGCTAAAGATGGTCGATGACCTTTGTATTTTCTAAGATGTTTTGATGAAAGTTTGAACTATTTGCTTTTGTGTGATGCGGCTGACCAATAAGAACCAAGAGCGCGGATGACGTTTGTTTTTGTTTACATTAAACACGTGTTGTATTTTCTATGGTGCTAGAATGAAGAATGAACATGCAGAGAGGGCAAAGATGGACAAAAGTCAATTTAGTCAAGAAATCATTTTACAGTTTTACAGTTCAAATGATGTTTATTCTGGAAATTTGATAAAACTTCATAAACTAAATTAGAACATATAATTTTCTTTTAAATACATATTAAGGCGTTTGGAATGGAAATCATTAAGGACGCTATTTAATTGGTATGTAATCCGTAATATGCGTCTGTAATCTGCAACGAATTCGCTCAACAAAGAAAACTTTGAGTCCTTTAATTCGTCCGTGTATCATCCGCGTTCGCGACGGCATCCGTGACGTTTCACAGAATGAGCTATTTTTATGGACGCGGACAGTCACGGGTAGGTATCGTCACGACAAGATTCCTCGAACGAAATTAGATGCTTTATTGATTTTGAAAGAAAATACTGAAAAGCTTATAAAATAGTGCTGGAGAACCCACATCTGTATGATGCATCGCTGACAGATAACAAAAATGTATCTGTTCTACGGTTACAAAAGAGATGAAAATCAAAAACCTACCTGATATTTAATGTTTCTTCCTTTATCTATCTACCTTAATTCTTTGATTATAGAAATGTTTTTGATATTAGTAGGAAATTGTATCAAATTCTACAAATAATTATTCTCTCTTTGCTATACTATAAAAGTATATGGAATATGTGCAATTACCTATGGAATAATACTCACGGACAGGCCCCGGACGCGAACAATGGACGCGGATCACGGATAGCGTACCAATGGAATAGCGGCCTACAGGTCATGTCTCAGTCCTTCCTGTAATTTACAAGTTTACTTGAAGAATATTTTATTTGTTGTTGAAATCAAGAAGATACAGATTTATGCTTGTGTTACTGCTTAAAATTGCTTTTTAATGTATGAGCAGTGGTATATAAGTGTCTCACTTATCTCACTCTCACTCATGGCTTTTAGTGTAAGAGTAGTAGTATATGAATTAATATTAATTTTCTTATCTCACTCTCTTCTGCATGTGCTTATGTTCGACCAGTGTTTTATATGAGTATTTTACTCAACACACTCTCATGTATGGAAAGCCTTGACTGTCTTATAATTATAAAACTGAACGTTTTTATGTCCAACTAATATATTAAGTCAATCTTTCTTTATACAATGTGCACTCATGAATATATTATGTTGAAGTATCCCCACATGAATTCAACTGAACAATATATAATAAAAATCTGGAAACAAAGTGATCCCTCGGAAGCATTTATTACAACAAAATTACAAGATTATTGCAGACTCGGTATGATTGAGTCCGAACATGAGGGATAATGAATATGGCAACATCCCTCACGCCCCCGGCTTGAGTGGTACTGAGAGCCAGCTCGAAGATCGAAATTCAAAATTCAAACAGGCATTTTAATTAAAAGTTTAGAATTTAAAGTTGCTGTTTGTGTCAAAATACGAATCATTAAACATCTGAAACAATGAGGTTGAATTTTTACTTGCTTATCTTTCTGTTGTGATATCCAACTGTGACTGTAACGTAACGTAATAAGAATGTGTAAGAGCACATTTAAATTGCGTATGTCTTATATGGCCTTATAAAATAATTCCAAAACACTACTCCAATAAAGATAGATAATTGTATCATAGTTTGGGGACCTTACTGTTGAAAATGTGTCAGAGATAAATCGTATACATAAACATGCACAGTGCGTTAACTGGAGTGCAGCTATCAGTTACCCGCACTCAAGAGCATTGTAACAGCGCACTTTTGGGTCAAACGTACTTTGGGGTTCAACCCCAAAGTGCGGTAAAGTTCACAGCGCACTTTGGGGTCAAAATCCAGAAATAAACCCCAATGTGCGGTGATATGCTACATATTAACGCACTTTGGGTTCCATCGTTCTAAAAATGTTAACTGAGTTCTGCTTAAATACTGAGTACTGACTAATTTTTTATCGAAATTCAAAATTTTCAAAAGCCGAATTTCGACCTGGAGTTGAATTTTGAGCCAGCTCGAAGATCGAAATTCAAATGTGTCAAAAATAAATCGTATACATAAACTAATTTTTTTATCGAAATTCAAAATTTTCAAAAGCCGAATTTCGACCTGGAGTTGTATTTCGAGCCAGCTCGAAGATCGAAATTCAAAATTTTCAAAAGCCGACTTTCTAGCTGGAGTTTAATTTTGAGCCAGCTCGAAGATCAAAATTCAAAATTTTCAAAACCCGAATTTCGAGCTGGATTTGAATTTTGAGCCACCTCGAAGATCCAAATTCAAAATTTTTAAAAAACCGAATTTTGAGCAAAATTACTGAGTACTGACTAATTTTTATCGAAATTCAAAATTTTCAAAAGCCGAATTTCGACCTGGAGTTGTATTTCGAGCCAGCTCGAAGATAGAAATTCAAAATTTTCAAAAGCCGAATTTCGAGCAGGAGTTGAATTTCGAGCCAGCTCGAAGATCGAAATTAAAAAATTTCAAAACCTTAATTTCGAGCTGGCCCGAAGATCGAAACTCAAAATTTTCAAAACCCGAATTTCGAGCTGGAGTTGAATTTTGAGCCAGCTCGAAGATCGAAATTCAAATGTGTCAAAAATAAATCGTATACATAAACTAATTTTTTTTATCGAAATTCAAAATTTTCAAAAGCCGAATTTCGACCTGGAGTTGTATTTCGAGCCAGCTCGAAGATCGAAATTCAAAATTTTCAAAAGCCGACTTTCTAGCTGGAGTTTAATTTTGAGCCAGCTCGAAGATCAAAATTCAAAATTTTCAAAACCCGAATTTCGAGCTGGATTTGAATTTTGAGCCACCTCGAAGATCCAAATTCAAAATTTTTAAAAAACCGAATTTTGAGCAAAATTACTGAGTACTGACTAATTTTTATCGAAATTCAAAATTTTCAAAAGCCGAATTTCGACCTGGAGTTGAATTTCGAGCCAGCTCGAAGATAGAAATTCAAAATTTTCAAAAGCCGAATTTCGAGCAGGAGTTGAATTTCGAGCCAGCTCGAAGATCGAAATTAAAAAATTTCAAAACCTTAATTTCGAGCTGGCCCGAAGATCGAAACTCAAAATTTTCAAAACCCGAATTTCGAGCTGGAGTTGAATTTTGAGCCAGCTCGAAGATCGAAATTCAAAATCTTAAATCCAAGAATTTCAATTTGATTGAAATGTTTTTAAGAATCAACTTATTGCATTTAATCTTTTTAAAACTGTAATGTTTTTCAATGTTCAATTTTCGTTGAACAATTGACACTGGCGTTTACGTTTATGTTACGTCATGTTATATTACACTGCAAATGATTTTCCGTTAGTGTTCATGTCATATTTGTTACCTACATTGTATGACGCAGAAAACCATTATGATTTAATAACAAGCATAAAGTGCTCATTATATACACAAGATCTGTCAAATAAGTAAATTTTATATACGAATGAATAGGTGATGTTCATCCTAACATGCAAGTATTCCGAGTATTTCCGACTATCTCATCCGCCACTTTTTGTTTATCTCTTAATCAAAGTAGATTTTTATTTATTCAAACGTGATGATTTACCAAAATGGATATTAAAGGTAATTTCTTATGTTCATCATCGTTACTTCAGTTCTTCTCAATGATTATAATATTTATTTACTGATTTTCTACATCAAACTTCTACCGGAAGCCTTCTTCAGGACAGAAGACTGCCACTAGCAAAAGTCTGAATTTTGTTGGCGCTTTTCAACATGTTTTTTTTTTTTCAAAAGCGTCTTTAAATCTAATTATAGCTCAAATATGGTACCAGTCAAAGAGTTTCAAATTGGCGGGTCCAGCTAACTAAGGCTTTTTCTCTAACATGTTAGAATTTCAGTCTTACTCTGAACTAAACAAATTTTATTTTTATTATATGCAAAGAAACGTTTAAAAAGTCATTTAGCCAAATACTAAATGAAAAAAATAGAACGCGACGTCATTTACGACGTCACGTCATTATGTTGGTTTCCAGTACTGTGAACGCTTGTATTTCACTGAAACAACGTAAAGGGCTTAATTTCAAAACAGTGAAATTATCAAACTGATAGTTTCACTGTTTATATCAGTGAAATTATCAGTTTTTATTCACTGATATATTTCTATAAACCACCGAAAAGCATGTAATAATAGTGTTTATTGATGAAAATTTGAATTCAATTTAACTTTATTTAGATACTATTATTTATTTTCTTCAGTTTTCCTCAATAGCGAATGAAAGCGACTTCAGAGTAAGTGCGCTAAATTTCTCTCTTTCCCTTCTGGTATTAATTAATAATCAACTTATATATTGAAAATTCGGCTCCATACATTGATAAAATGGTTTCATATATTGTAAAAATGAATTAATATAATATAATGGTTACACAAATTGAAAAAGGACAATATCAGACAGCCATGGCTATCCATAAGAAATCCTACTTGTGATGAGTTCTTTTTCGTATTATTTACAGTGTTTTTTAACAAAAGGAAAGACCGAATATCTCTAACTTAATATAACCATACAAGGATTTGCGCTCTTTTGTTGTCTTTGATTGATTTTACAATAGTGATGATATATTCTAAGATATTTATGTGAAACTCTCTAGGATTTAAAACAGAAAAATGTAATGCCTATTTAACTTCATAAAAGCTAAAGGCGTATGTTATTAATATTAATTACGACTGTGTCATTCTGACGGTGCACCGTTTCCCATGTGTCGATGCTTTTCTTTTCTTCTGTCACTACATTTGCCCAATATATATATATATATATATTTGAAACAAATTATGATATTCTTTTTTATGTAAGATCACCATATTATGACTACATTTTCTAAATTTTATCCAATATATATATATCACATAGAAGACATTTCATTAACATACTGAAATAAAATAACTTAACAATAGAAATTGAGAAATATTTTAATTAATATTTATAATATCAATATTTATTATTTGTAATAGTCATCTTCAAAATACGTCTTATCAAGCATCTCTCGACCTCGCCTAGAGTAGCACTAACAGCTAGTTGACACCTAATTGACATCTTCAATGTTTTTCTTTCTTTATCTAACTTGTCAGCAGTTTTCGATAACGCTTCTTTATTTAAACTAGTTAGCAGTTTCTTATTTAAATTATCATATATATCATCATTCGTCAGCAGTTTAGTATTACATCAAATCGGCCCGTGCAAAAATCGTCTGTAACACGTTTCAGTCCATATTTTGTCTTTATCTAGTCCGGAAAGTACATAAAACTACCTTAAATATTAATATATATTAACTTCCAATTGGATTAATTTACATTCCTTTTAAATTGAAATTAATTCCAATAGGATTTATTTCCAATAGAAAATATTGGAAAAAACTCCAATTGGAATAATGTCCAGTTGGGTTTTATTCCAATCGGATTTTTTTTCCTGGAAAAAAAATCCGATCGGACTTTCCGAAAAATGCTTAAATAGACGTTATTTCAACAAGAAAATGCATACAAATACGTATTAAGCATGTGTTTATGTATTTCGACAATTTCATAAAAATTGAAATTCCCGTTGGAATAAATGATAATGCTGGAATAAATTCCAATTGAAATTTAAATAATTCCGCCCGGACAGCATAATTCCGGGCAGAATACATGAAATTCCGGACAAATTTTTTAAAATACATTTTTTGATAAGAAAAAAATAAAAATAGCTTTAAATGAAGTCAATTATTAATAATTAACAAGGTAAAACATATTACAACTTTCATCATGCATGCTTGTGTTTTCTTTCGGAGTTTCATTCTCCTTTTTATATTTGTCGACCTGATATATAGAAACAGAATAAATAAAGAACAATTGAACATTTATTTTGAAAACCGAGAAAAATTATATTGAATTCCTTTATGAATTACTTTTAATATATCGAATAAGGAAAATACATAATAGTTTTCTTTGTCAAACTCCTCATTATCTTTTTGACAAATACTTCCATTATAAAATTGATTTTAGATAATTTAAATCATTATCCATATTCATATTATCTTTTAACAGAAATAAACTACTTAAAGTGACATTATGTTAATCCAATGTTATATAATGAACAGGTAGAACTCTAATCTTTATCGTTTACTTCGCACGAACGGCAATACAAACAACCTACCCGGTCAAAGGAATTGTTTGTAAACATCCATCAGAATATACCTGTAACGTTCAGCAGTACATCATTATAACAGTCAGTCTGTTTAAATATGTACTAAATTCAGCTCAAATTGACAATGAAAAAATGTGCATGATGTCACTTTAATTATTCAATTATTGCTATATAATTATACGCTTTTATAATAATCATTTAAACATACTATAGTCTGATACTTTTCTTGTTCTTTTTTGTTTGTTTGGGGGTTTACGTCACATCGACACAATATAGGTCATATCGCGACGTTCCAGCTTATACTGGTGGAGGAAGACCTCAGGTGCCCTTTCGTGCATTATTTCAGGCACGAACGGGCACCTGAGTAGAACCACCGACGTTCTGTAAGCTAGCTGGATAGCTTCCTCACATGAAAGAATCCAAAGTCCCTGTCGGGATTCGAACCCACAGCGGTAAGGGGCAAGCGGTTTGAAGTCAACGACCTTAACCACTCGGCCACGGACGCCCCGTAGTCTGATACTGATACATACTTTAGTCAGACCATGATACATACTTTAATCTGATTTTGATGTGAAACGTTTCCACCCCTTTCATTTGCAATATCGTCTGACATAGTATTAATCGTTTGTAGAAACTGATGTGCCTCACCTTGATGTACTTATCATGTAAAAGAATAAGATTTGAAATGCTTTACAAGTTATAATGGTTTATTTAATATATCAATCACAAAATGACTAGATCAAACATAGTTTTTGAAGCTGGAAATTAATTCGGAAGAAGACCATTGCATGATAATACTTGTTATATCTTATTCGGTCAATTCGTTTGCCGCAAGGGGTATAAAATCTTTCTTTCCTTTTGAAGAATGCATAATATAATGTTGTTTTCTCAGACTTGTTTTATCTCGTAGTATGGCTACTAAGTTTAATTAATCATTATTTAGACATTAATATATATTATTCTGGCTTGTTTTTAGATAATATTATTGTAAGCTTGTCTAAGAAATTCATTAAAAATGAAATGAAAGTTTCATTTAAAGCTAAAAAGACGTATAATTCATTGTTTCGTAAAAGTAAAACATATTACAACTTTCTTCATGCATGCTTGTGTATTCTTTCAGAATTTCATTTTCCTTTTTATATTGTTGAACCTGGTGTATGAAAACAAAACAAATACAGCACTGATATTCGTATTTCATCTTTGAAAAACAAAACAAAGAATAAAACTGTCCTAATATTCTGTGCAACTAGTACATAGTTAGTTTTATATCAATCATGCCCCAAATGTGTTGAAACATTCCTGATTATACAATTACCATAGTCTTTATGCAAATAAACCATTTGATTTTTTATTATCTATATTCCACAATTCGTCACAGTAAAACCATTACAACAACTCTCATTCTTTCCTAGTACTGCTACTGACATTAGGTTTCTAAGTAGTATCTACACCTACAAACTGTACAAAACTGTGATAATGAATGAAATGAATAAAAACGATTATTGAAAACTTTGGATACTTTCATCTTTGTGCAATTTTTCTCAAAAAAAATCATACCAACTTTAAGCATTTGAGTTCTTTACCTTATTTTCTATTACTTTCTTTTCTTTTTCTAAGGATTTCACTTTATTATGGAGGTTTTCTATTGTTTTAGCTGACTCTGTCTTCAATCGAGTTTCCTGTTGAATAATTTAACATTTCGATTGTTGTTTGTTTGTCTAAAACCCATCTTTGCTAAAACCCACTTTTTTTAAATATTCGTATATTAAAGATATAATATCAATATGCAGAGTAAATATCGTTAGGATAACTAAGCAACCACATTCAAGGTTATTGATTTTAAATAAATGTTTTATGAGTTTTAGTTTATTCTAAGGAATCCATTGAGTTGTGAATATATCAATAGTTCACACAGATAAGCAATGGAGACTGCATATATTCTCACTTCTAACGGTGTTAGGCAAAATGAAATTTATGATGTGACATATGTTAAGGTAATTTTTTTATTTGTACAAAAAGATATTACCATTTTCTTAATTATTAAAAGCTATAATGATTGCAGTAATAAATATTGAATACAATGGACAAGAAAACTTGAGATATGTCACTAATTTCTGAAAAAGTAAAATCATAAGCTATGCTAGATATGTGACCTTTTACTACAATTAACAACGTGCACATAAAATTCGAAAGGTATAAACAAGAATAGATGGACTTTGCAGACCCAGAGTGTTTTATGTATTATAAACTTAAAATAAGATGTGCTTTGATTATCGAGTCCAAATTATCTGATCAATATACAATGATATACTGATAAAATAAAGTAAAGGGAAAATTCAATAGATGTTAAATAACACTTAAATTGTTATCTCAATTCTATAAAATGTTCAAATCAGAATGACATTATGTACACACGAGGCAAATGAAATATAATTATACATTATATTAACATTTTGAGTATATCATATCTATAGAATAATCGCTTCCCTTAATATATCAGAACTGCACACCTCTGCGATTTTAATGCAAATATAACATTCATTTATTTTTACCCTCATTATCTATTTCACAATTCGTCAAAGTAAAACCATTACAACTACACCTCTCATTATTTCTTAGTACTGCTATCGAAATTATGGCTCTAAGATATATCTACAAACTACAAAATACTAGTAGTTTTTTTTAACTGTGATAATAAATGAAATCAACTTTATAGATTATTGAAAATTTGAATACTTTTATCTTTGTGCGACTTTTCTTTAAATAACATAACATATTTAAGAATGTGAATTAGTTACCTTATTTTCTACTTTTTTTTCTTTTTCCAATGATTTGACTTTATTATGAAGATTTTCTATTGTTTTGGCTGATTCTTCAGAATCTTTCTTTTGTCACAGATTGAAATTATATGGTAATGGCAGCCGTGAATTTCCATAGTTTTATTTAAGCGGAAACATCGTGCACGCGCGTTTTTATTCGGTTTCGTTTAGGTTTGATCGTATAAGTTTAACTTCCGGTATTGAATCGGTGAAAATCGACAATTTCCGTCAATGATGTACATTGTCGATCTCACCCTTGCAATATCGTGAACACTGGTCACTCGTTCTTTGTTGTACTTATCCAATTGTTGTGTTTGTTATGTATGATTCTATGTGAGAGAGATATCCCTTGGTTCTTTTAAATATTTTTTACTTCTGCGCACTGTTTGCTTTTCCTGTCCCGCTCACTCTTAGTCAGACATAGTAAAACTGAAGTTTATTTATTTAACATTAGATCTACATTTACTTTACTTATTTCAATTTATATTGAAATAGTTTAATTTATATAAGTAAATATAAATTACAGACGCTGTCGAAAGATAGGATATTGATTGTATTTCTTATGTATTTTCTTATTCCGCGTCGATTGTGTATATATTGTTATTTCATTGTATTTTGTTTTTCTATGTATTGTATTTGTAAGATGTATAATTATTTTATTATATTTTTAGACCATTTTTACTTGGATTCTAATAAATACACCGAACCTACGCCCAGAGTTGTTTCTGTACTATCCAGTGTAGAAATATTTGACCCTGTGACACTTTAATCGAATTTCCTGTTGGATAATATAAACATTTTAATTCTTTTTTGTTTGTCTTCAAACACATCTTTTTTAAATATCTTTTGTAGATATATCAATATACAGAGTAATTATCTTGAAGATAACAGCAACCCCATTCAGCAATATTTATTTTAAATGTTGTATAACTTCAAGTCTATTCTAAGGAATATATTGGGTTGGGAATATATCAATAGTTCACACAGATAAGATTCCAATGAAGCCTGTATATACTCCCACTTCTAACGGTGTAAAGCAAAATGAAATTATATGATGTGCACACATGCTAAGGTAATTTGTTTATTTGTACAAATCGTACACTCATTTTATTAATTATTATTACAATAATTGCAGTTACAAATATTGAATACAATGGACAAGGAAACTTGAGTTCTGTCATTAATTTCTGCAAAAAGCAGAATCATTATTTATGTAATATTGATGACATTTTACAAAATTTAAGAAAGTAATAACAGAAAATAGATGGACATTACAGAACAAGTGCGATTGATGTATGACATATGTATGAAAACATGAACCATCTAAAGCTTCTCTTCGATATTGAAAATGAGATAAACTTTAATTATCGATTGCGAATAATCTGATGAATATACTGATAAAATAATGTGAATGAAAAATTCAATAAATGGTAAAAAAACACTTTTTTCCAGTCTATAAATGTTGTATTCTTAATGATATTTTAATATATGTACCCGGCAGGTAAAATAATACAATATTAAATAGACTGCCTATCTATAGTACATGAAATTCTTGGTTAATCGCTTTTCTACATAATATTATATTAAGACTTCTTACCTCTGATTTTTTACTTTCCAGTTCTTTGTTCAAACTGTCAATTTTGTCTACCATTTCTTCAGGCTCCGGCCTATTTATAACTTCCTATAACAAAATCAGACTGTATAAAAATCATGTAAATATTTTATAGAAATATATGGGATAGCTGTTTTCTTTATATATAATGAATGTTTCAATCCCACAGATATCCTCTTTGAATATAAGCTTGGGTTTATTGCGTCTATAGTATTTATATTATGTTGAGTTGAGATGTGTAACTACATTATACATTCAGAATTGCTGTCGACCTGTTATTAATTTTATTTATATATTTTGTACCACAGGTCAACACACTTCAATATTGATCCTTAAACTGATTAATGATATAAACTACGATTTCTATTTCATTATCTTAGCCAAGACATCATCCGAATAACCATGGGTTAAAAATATGTAAAATAAGAAAAAACGTAAAATATCAATACATACTTAAACAGGATAATTATAATAGCATTACATACTTCAACTTCTTGAAGAGTTTGTTCTGTATTTTGCTTAAGGGCTTCCAATTCTTTATAGTCGTCGCTTTTTTCATCACACTCTGCTTGATCCTGTTCTATCGTTAAACTTTTCTGTTCAATTGTTGTCTTAACGATTGACTTATAATCAGCTGGCTTATATTCCAATCCTTTATTTGCTGTCACCTATGTTATTAAAACAAAAAAGATACTATAATTACAGAGAAGTTGAAATTGCCTAAGACGCAATGTTCTATAATATTTAGATCCATTGTTTTTACATAACAAAGAGTAGTCGTTTTTATAAAAGTTTGTGTTTCAGTATTTCAAGAGCTACAAGCAACATTGAATTCGATGTTTATTAGAAACAGTGTTGTAAAATATAGTGTAAGACACATACGTATAGTAAAATGCATCTAATTTGAAAAGTAAATCTGCTATGAGATTTCGGAATTCGTATTGACATGAACGGCCTAGATATCATAGTACCAAATGACTTATTCATAGTTATGATTCAGAATAAATGATCATACATAATTATTGTCTAGTTAAGACTTTCAAACAATTGTTGATACAAAAAATATCACATTAACCACCACTTTGTATTGTAGTTTAGAATCGTACCCCGAAACCTCCAATATCTTTAAGCATATCTTGTAAACGTTTACTCGTGCGCCTTTGATCGTCATCGTCAATACTTTTATGTAGTTCATCGGCAACAATTTTCGCCTCTAACACCTTGGCTATGATTTTTTTACTTTCTTCAGATTGGTACTTTATAACAAAGTCTTTCTTTTCAATCTACAATCCAACATATTTCATTACAACGTATTAAAGTATTTCTATTTAACATGCATGCATTTACAGAAAGATCCATTCCCTTACAAACTACTTGATCTAAGAAATGCGGAAGGACTCTTATGCTAAAAAGTTAAATATTGATACTTTTCGTTTCATATTAGAATTATGCAGGTAATTCTTTTTTAAAAGATTTAGATTTATAAAACATACAAAATTAATAAATATTTAAATAAGTTTGATATTTAAACAAAAACGGGTTTTCCGTGATTGAATTGTCAGGCTACAATAAAGTGAAAACATTGAACTTCATAAAATACAAGGAGTGTCCTTCAAAGTCGCTGACAATAACAACAATATTATGTCAAGGCCTTAAAACTTTGCTTACGAGTATCTCCGTCAATTTGAATTAAAATGATACATTACGTATATACTAAATATATTAAAGCATTGCTACGAATCTGAGGTGTACATTTGCTGTCCGCGCCAATCTAAAACATTATCTTCAAAGAACGAGGAGTGGTCGATGACGTTAAAAATCTGCTTTATGTTATGACATTGACATTTACTGTACATCTGACACTTTAAGACTTGACAAGGATATCGCAAGACATATATGTTTACATGTTTACAGTGCACCTTTTACTGCATAAGCCTAATAAAATTGTTACTTTTAACGCTGACGTTGCCAAACAGATAAACAGATGGTGGTATCAATTTTTACTTTTCGTGCTGAATGACACTTGAGTCCATTTCAAAAATACAAACACTGAGGAAATATTTCAATATGTCTTGCGATCTATATTATACAAGTGTCATATAAATATTTAATATGTGACACAAAAAAGCAAAATTGGAAAGCCTCTAGTCAAGTGAATATGAACAGTGAAGAAAGTCATTATTTGATTTAATGAAAATAGACATCAAGCAGTTTGTACTTTCTAAGAAACGTTAGACTGTAAAATATGACTGTGCTGATAATTTTAAGACACTTCATGTCGTATGTATATTGAGGATGCGTTCATCGAATGTCGCCCATATCACATCAAAGTAAAGCGACATTATTTGACCTGTGTGATCAAATTCGAATATACCTTGCTGGACTTTTGCATGTAAAATCAGCAAGGAACCAATTTCTGGTTTAGAACTTACACTCAAGTAGTACTTTGAATATTGTTTGATTGCGTATGTTGAAACTACACATTAAGCAAAAATATATCTATATCAAAATATTCTTACGTCTTCCAATTCTGCTATGGCATCCTTATAATATGTTTTTTCGGTTATATCTAGGCTACCCAAAAGAACCCTCGACCATTTAATAATTTCTTGAGTTTCCTCTTCTTTCATTATGTTGTCAGGCGAGTGCATCAGCTTATTTCTTGATTCCAAAACCTGAAAAAATTGAGATCTTGAAATAAACAATCTTCGGCTGATGAGAATTTGAATATGATGCATTGTTTCCGAGTAGAATGCCATAATGACCAAGGCCACATTCTCGAGTGAATATCCCATCATGGTTCATCAGTCAATCTTTGTATGATTAGTGTACTCTGTGAGTAAATAATTATCATGATTTATCAGTCAATAATTGTTTGATTTTATGGATACAATAAAAAAAAGTTGGCTGTTTTCATATAAGCTCAAGTAAAAGACGGATTTTAGAAAATAACTCCAGACTTTCAAAGCTGCGCTCACAAACAAAAGTTCCTCAAGCATGGTGTGATTTTTTAACTTTTAAAGTGATAAATGAATCGAGGAATATACCATAAATTACAGAATGCAACAACTTGCTTTAGTTTACGATGGGTGAACAGTCAACGATGTGTAGTAAGTGATTAAAACATGTCTTGGTCTATTTTAGATCAAAAACTCCAATTCAGTGCATGTATAATATCATATACAGTGTTTAAATTGATAGTTTGTTTTGTTGAATGTTGTTCTGACTATTGTAAATAGTTTAAGCGTATATACTAATATCCATTCTGCAACTGCAGGTGCCGCTATAAATATTATTTCAGGCTCAAACAGGAAACTGAGTAGAACCATCGATGTTCCGTTATTTAGCTTGATAGATATCTCAAATGAAATGAAAAAAATGATGACGCTTGCGCGGTTCTTACCTATAGCGTTGAGAGACATTGGTTTGAAATCAATAACTGCTATTCTTAATTTAAGATAATTTACAACTTATTGATTACCTTATCATAAGGTTCAAGTGAGCCATCTGGAAAAAATAATTTACAACTTCTCATGGTTTTGATAACTCGAGATATATCAAGGCATTTTAAACTTGTGTAGTTCTCTATAGCTTCGTCTTTGTCTAGGTGCATGTATAGTTTCATAACTTTCCAATTGAAATCTTCTGCTTGATTTTCTGGATTGAGTTTTCCAATGCTTTCACTTAAAGTTGTTTCTTTCCACTTTAACTTTAAAACGTTTTTCTGCTCATGATTATTAACGAAACGTTCCATAAGTATTTTGCATTTGTCATGGCTACAACCCCATTGTTTACCGCCTTTTCTTTGTGTTCTTAATCGAGAAATGCCATTTAAGTTTAAGCATATGAAAAATTGTTTTAATTCTGAGGGTGGGATATCTTTCAAGTCCTCATCAAGTTTGTCAAAAATATGCTCACACAAAGCATTTCGTGTTGTGTTAAGTCCAAATACACCTTTTAGCCAGTTTTGGAACTCTTTGTCGTAAATATCAATCGGCATCTTTTTATGTGTGTGTGTGTGTTGTTTTTTTTTCAAAATATTTTTAGCTAATTCTTGTTTTTCTTCCCGTGGTCAAACAACAATTGTTAGCGTTCCTCGATTAGATACCCTAAAAATAAACAAAATGAAAAAAAATAAAAGAATAAATAAGTTATTTCATAAAACGTAACAATTTATTTCTTTATCTAAAAACTTTCAACAGCCGTTATGATAAAATTTAAACGAGTGAATGACTTTTGAAGTAATTATGTACCATTCAGAATACATTTGCAAATGAAAATTTGCTCAATTAAAAAAAGAAGCAAAACAGACGAGACTTTACAAAAACTCTTTCGCAAAGACGTGTTGTATCCATTAACGACACTAAAACCCGTTTAAGGACGTATGTTTGGTTACCATATAGTAGGAAAATAATAGAATAGAATCAATTTAAACTTTGCATGATCATATAATTCTGCATTGCATGTAGCTGACTTTCGAAAAAGTGCTACATCTAAAAGGTTTGTTTTATTTTCCTTATTTATTTAGAGCTTTGTCACAATGGCCTAGTTGTTATAAAAAAATGTATAGTCTCTGTACCTAAACCATATAAAAAGAACACACATCTTTATGAAAATTTGTATTGTAACCAACCAAACTAATAGTAAAAGTGACGTTTGCAATACTTATGTACACGTTATTTGACCTTGAATTGCATAAATAAGATTTTATGCCAACATAAAATAATTTATGTCATTGGTCCGTCCCTATTCTCATTACTGTACAGAATATTACGGGTCAGGTTTAAGCCAAGTACGTCTTAGCCAATCGAAATCAAGATCTAAATCATGTCATGTTAATTAACCAATGATTACATTAGATCTATCACAAAGAAATAATTTTGGCAGATGATTCTCGCCTTTCTTTATTACTAAAATCCACCTCCTCCAACTCCATACTCCTCTTTCAATTTTTGATGTTGATATAAATACCATTTCATTTATTGTTCATGAATCAGTCGTTTCACTTATTGTTTATCTCAAAATACTTGTGTAACTATTCATGATGTACACTATATATATATATATATATATATATATACATATATATATATATATATATATATATATATATATATATATATATATATATATATATATATATATATATATATATATATATATATAATGTGTGTGTGTATTGTTCATGCAAAGATTTATAAAACCAGTCGATGTTATATTATCTCTTTCAAATATTTTTCTATTTGTTGTCATAAATACTTATAATCTAGTTATATGTAATACACTTATTCATGTATAGAATGTTAAAATATTTTTCAAGGATGGAGCCCTACATCAAGTGGTACTAGACACAAGATAAAAGGGCACAGGTTTCCAAACTATGTTTTTTCCTGGGCGAGTCGACCACGATTTGGATTTTTTTTTTGGTCAATTGTTTTTGATCAGCAATCCATTTTATTATATTTGTGCAGATGATTTTTGGTTCAACTTTGCCATCTATTATAACTTTTGCTAAGATTGTTATCTATTTGAAAGTTTATTTTGATTTTGTGGTTAATCATTACTTTACAATGTTTTTACCTCCCAGTTTGGTTATTTCGATACAAATATGTACGTGCCATGTTTGTTATCATGTAACATTTGTTATGTTTGTTATTATGTAACATTTGTCATTTATGGCATTTTTACCTCCCAGTTTGGTTATTTCGATACAAATATGTACATGCCATGTTTGTTATTATGTAACATTTGTCATGTTTGTTATTATGTAACATTTGTCATTTATGGCATTTAATAAATGCCCTATTTCATTCCAATAACAAACGAAACTAACAACGAGTAAGGGCTGATAATTAAAATGCATTATATTTCATAATTATAACGTGTTACCATGGCTTAACGATGTTATGCATAAACATTAATTTATTTTTTTATCAGAAGAATACATATTCAATGTTAAATGAATATGTTTCAATTAGACTGATATTAAAGAAGGATGCCTACAGATGTGTGTTATGTTCATAAACAAACTAAAATATTTTTATGCGTAACACGTTTTCATGAGAAACATTTAAGTGATCAACAAAGCATAAGGCCCTCACTAACAATGAAAATGACGTAAACACAGTAAAAAATGTACGCAGAAATAGAAATGATCTTGCTTTTTAAGCAATGCGTTAAAATAATGCATTTTGCCATTTGTACATTTGAGTTATGCCATTCACAGTTTCGTCAGGATGATAGAATATTTAAACCTGCCTTCAAGTACGTTCTTAGGTAATTTTAAATATCTAATTTGATAATATCTAGGCGACAATTATTCCATATTTTAACCATTTAAATCACTTAGCAATCACATTATTAATATGTTTTACATTATATTATATAGTCATGTTTAACTAAGATTATTCTTTTAAATGTGTGTATAGCTAGATTGTAGTTTATATAGTTCAATCAACATTATTGTGCATATGCTAAGTACGTTAATTAGTAACACAATATAATATAAGTCCTTGAAATATGGAACACTTATTAAGAAATCAAGCTGGTAATTTGCCATATGACCTTGACATTATCTGTGCGACTTATAATCTAAAAGAACAATAACAAAAACCAAATGAAAACAAACACAAAAGTACTCGTAATTGATACTTGTTAAAACTGATCTGTAGGTTGGTTGGAGATATTGAAATTTTGTACTATACTCGTAAATTGATAAATTTACTTTAAAAGCTATTTATATTTCGGTTTAATATTATCTCGTTTAATGATCATGCTTATTGTTGAATTACTCGAGTGGTTATCAAATTCGCATTACCGTGACAGGGTTAAACGTAATGGCGAAATATTTTAGAAAGGTTTTTCTGTAGATCTATGGATGGTTGTTATTTTGTTTGTTTGTGTTTTTTTTGTTGTTGTTTTTTTTTTGCATGGGATTATGAAATACTCGATAGTTGAAATAATAGTACAAAATAAAATATGATTTCATTTAAATCTTGAAAGTACACGTAAAAATACAGCAATATCTTTTAACCCTTTTTACGTTTAAACATTGTTGATAACATGTAATTATATCTTACGAGGATATTTATAGGTTTATGTTATATGCAGATAAGACACACACAAAAACACTCAAAATGCAAAGGCAAGGGCGTTGTACTGAAAGATCTTATCTAAAATGGCCCTTTTCTTGCATAATTATGCAGTAGTAAACAAGTGTTTACCAATATCATTTCAAAATGAATTAGGTCCTTTCTATTCCTTAGTGTATAAAAAAACATATTGAACAATATATCAGGAAAAATGTTCACAAATAATTAATGATATAAAATTATCTAAGATATCTTCATTATTTATGTTTCATATTCAGTTTTATAAATAAACAATCCTTTCTCCCGTCACTAATTTATTTTTGATTTAAAATGTTATCATGGGTCAATTCATGACTTCCAAAGAACTCTACCAGAATTTTTTTAATATTTTCTTTCAAACGTTCGTTGACTGTAAGTAACACGAACTTTTCAAATTTCAAGGTGAATGCACGTAATCTTAATTGATATTAATCAATTGCAAAACACACAGATGGTGCCATTCCTCATACCTCATACTCTTATGGATGCACCAAGTGCCTTTTATTGGACAGAGAAACGTGCCGAAATATGTTTTACCTGTTTTTTCTTAAAGATAATATGTTTACATGAATGTCATATCTTCAGATATGACCGTCTTACTTTTAAAAATGAAATTGACAACTTTAACAAACATATAACCTAAGATATGGAAACCGTTATGACAGAAATAAGTATCATACTATAGTTAATACATATCTTACATTAAGATTTTAAAATCCTATCTTACAAAATGAATGACTTTTGTATAGATTACCATATATTTTTAGGATAATATACTATATTAACCAAAGATAAACCGTACCTAAAATTACCAATCCGTGTTACTATCCATTCTTTTTCCAATATAATAGAGTAAAAGTTTGTTTAAAGCAAATCAATATGCCCCACATTTAAATAACTCTTTTCCTGTTTTAATGTATGCAATAAAATTAACAGTTCACACAAGTGTATAACAAATATACTGTCCAATGTGTTAACAAAACAGCCAGAAATATGTGTCCTCTGTATGTCCTACCGATGGTCCGATACTATTAATAATATACTTCCGGGTTGCTTAATGGGAAAGGTTTAACACTGCTTACTCATTCGTAACAAAATAAAATCAATTGTAAACTGCGTTAAGGTTAAGGAGATACAATTTAAACAATCGCGTGGTCTTGCTTAAAAAAATAACATGATCAAAAATCATTCTTTATCTTACTGTAGATTAACTTGACTGGAGTATTGCAAAATTTTAAACAAATATTTTATCTTCTTGTTCAAACATTATGTCAATCACATGTTAGCGAAAGAACCATTCTTTAACATTCCTTTACACGTGTTATTCAAAGTAGTGATTATTTCTTGTCATTTGCTTGTATGTTTTAGCCTTTGGAAAAAATGTTTATCCCCTAAAATCAGAGTAATTTATTCTATATTCAAAGAAATCTTTTTCTCTCAAATAAATTTTAAACGCCTGTTTTTTGAATATATATTTTTGTTGAATAACTTCAGGTAAGATTGTTACCATTGTCTCCATTACAGAATATCTCTAGCAGAGAATGAGTAAGCAACAGTTAAGCTACATCGTCAATCGTCCGAAAAAACAAAACAGTCGAAAGCTCAGATTCATGTAATGGCAAAGATATCTCAAAAGTAAGTACCCAAAACACAAACAAGTTGGAAATACGTGATTTCAGAACTTGTAATTTAACAACCTCTTTATTTTGATTTTACATTTGAAATAGGTAACTTATCCTCCTTATGCAAGTATTTATGGCTACACCAAGAGTGCAAACGGACAAGTTTGATTTTATATTGATGCTCCAAGTAAGTAACGCTTGAGATTCGTACAATATTTCCTCCTTATCCATGTGATGTGGTTCTTAACTGAGGCCTGGTATCACTTAAACCTCGTTGTAGAAATCATGGTCAGTGGAATTAAAGTAACCCAGATTTATTTTTATATCACTTTGATGTTTGTCCTACAAGTTTAGCTTTAAAATTACTTTCTATAATGTCTAAATTGTTCTGACAAAAAATAATCCTTACAATACTAATGTCTGCATAATCTAAGCATGTGACAACTACAGACCATAATCAACCAGCATGTCCCTGCCATCTGATCATGGTCTCCTGCCTGACTGTTCACTGTTTAGTCTGTATAATTTTATATTTTAAAAATTTCCCTAGAACAGGTTTTATCCATTCAGAAAGACGGACAAGTCCATTTAAGATATTTAGAAGAATAATGGTTTAATATTCAGACAAACTATTCTACTCTGAATGTATCTTTTGTAATCTTGCCTTTAATGGTATTTTAGGGAATTCCTAACAATAACATTATAACCATGCATTAATCGTTGATGTAATATTTGCCAATATCTGTGTATACCATGTATTACGTTTATGTAACAAGCACCTAGTTTAAGTAAGAAGAAGCCTGAAGATTTGTTAAAACTATATAGAAATATCCATGTTTTACCTAGACAGATAACTAGATATAGCATCTAGTTGTATTAAGTTCCCAATATAACAACGAAGATATTAATATTTTATCCCTTCACCTCTGTGTGTACCTGGCCAAGCAATAAATAATCAGCCGACATTTTGTCAATCTATACTTCATAACTATTAAAGCAGCATGCCGCCAGATTGATGTTGTTTTTTTTCATACAGTGAAAACACTATTATTACTAAGTGAACATTGTAAAGTGATTTAATTAACAAAGCCTTAGATATAATGTTTTATCATTTTAATTTAAAAATATGGAACAAGTTATCCCTCAGAATCATTGATCACAACAAAATCACATAAACTAATGCAGACTCTGCTTGATTGAGTCTGTAAATGAAGAAAAATGAATGGGTGCAACATTCCTCACGCCCCCTAACTACGGCTTGAGCGGTTCTCCATTCTCAACACTAAATATTATTCACTGATATATGCTGCCATAAATGTGATTGGTTATTTATAACACAATAATTATTTATAAAACATCAATGACAATACTATTTGTTAATTTAAGCCGCTAAAAATAATAAAATAGTGCTGAATGAATGTAATGTAGTGTAGATATTGAAGGAATGTGAATTGAATAAGATCTTCGTAGATGTTGGATTTGATTACGTTTAAAAATACATTATACAGCCAATAAAGCACGGAATACGTGCTAGATCTTCTTTATAACTGTCATATTTTCTTTAAAATTAAGTTTTTTGTTCTAAAACAAATCAAGTTTTTTTGGGTTTTTTTTGAAAAAGTCTTTACACATCAGCTTAATTTAATATTTTGATGATGTTTAAAGTTTTGCTTAAAGAAATTTGATAGAATTTAAAAAAGAACGGGAAATAATATGGACTATTTACTTATGTCATGGTATTTTTTAAACTTATTTTATTGTTTTGTTTTCAGGTTTTAGCCGTTTCTGATTTTGGAAGGCTGTCAAACGATTTATCATGGACTTTGGAATGAAAGTTATTCTAAATGAGTGCTTAAAGGGGAAAAAGCAGATATTGAGTCAGAGTAAATATTTATTTTACCAAAACTAATAGAGAAAAGAAAGAAATATATTCCTTTTATATTATGGCCTACTCTATTAAAATGTTTGATTATTTGTAAGAGATGTGTTATCTCACCTGAGCTAGCTCAGGATGAGCTTTAACCTTTTACCCAATGAGCATATTGCGAAAAATGGCCTTTTTCATTGAAAAGCCTCCTGTAACAAGTTCAAACTGCTATGAAACTATGAAAAATGCTTCAATACTGATGAAACTTGGCACAAATGTTGACTACACCATAGCCTCTGTAACAGCATGCTCAATCGTAAATTTCCTGTTACCATGGCAACGGGGGGACGTCTCAAAATTGCCAAAAATCACTATTTTGCATTGTTTTTTTTCCCATCAAAACTTATTTCAAAGTGCTTCAACATTTCAATGAATTGAGATAGAGTAAAAGGCTTTTCAGCGTCGGTTACTAGTTCACTCTATTGTAAATTAAATATTACAAATGCTGCAAATAAATACTACATGTAAGCATTTTTTATACTTATCTGAATGAATATGTTGTAAGATACGTAAAGCGTATTTATGACGGTCTATATTTTATGTAACAATCAAGAAATGTTTAACTTGAGTGGCTCCTTTTTCATCCAAAAAAATAGTATCAAGAAATGTTCCAGTTTTCATTTACATTTTTTTACTTCTTTATTGTTCTCGTATGCTCTTCTAGTGCAGACATAATATGGCCTTACATAATTTGTTTTAAAAACATGTTCGGCATCATTTACTCTATATAACATTAAAATAAATAAACATTATATTTCAACCTGTTTTTGTTGTAACCATAACGGTATAACACTGATATTTCTTGAGACAGCGAGGTTATTTTGACAGTTGGCATATGCAATAAGCATGGAAAAACTAACACATACATTTTTATTTAGGAAATAGATATCAATTCTGAGTGCATTGTTGTAGAATAATGCACGGTTTGAGTTCATATGCGCAGTAATATAATCACGAAGGTCAACAGGCCTGAGTGATTAATTACAAAGCATGTGAACGAAAAACGTGCAGTATTACACAATTATGCACGAAGAATTAATATCTATTTCCATTCTAACACGTCAAGAAAAAATATAATTATTATTATTATAAAGTTGGACTTTATGTTTGGTGGTTAAATTTGTTATCACCTCGGAGTTTCCAATAGAAACGTTCTTTAAAGGCTGTTCCAGTGGGTTGATAAAACTGTCGTTAAATCTACTATGTGTATAAACATTTTGAGAATAATGAATTTTGAAAACGTTGAAAAAAACTTTGTTTGTTTATTTCATTTCACTCCATAATTTTTCAAGCGAAATACAAATTATTAAAAGTGAAATAAATGTAAAACTTAACTCGTTTGCGACATTAAAATAGCGTATTTGATTTGATTGTTTTGCACGTGCTGTTCGGCGCTGAATTGTGACGTCACGTAAACAACACTTAAAACGTCTGTACAGCGTTAACGACTGAATTAAAGATATTGGTGTTCGGATTCATTTTCTTAGACCATTTTCTTTCATTCTAGATAGTTTTCACAACAAAATTCGACAAAAAATTGTTTTTATTTATCAGATTTTTCAAACAAAAAGGCGCCCTCAATGTGAAAATACACAGGGAGATAATAAGAAGGGTGAGTGCATTGTTGTAGAATAATGCACGCTTCGGACCTTCTTTGTTTATACAGGCAAATTTCCGATAGTGTTTGGATTCACCATAAAACTTCACTTGATATATTGAAATAAAGATAATTCTATGAAAGAAATGTTCCGATTTTATGCTTATTTTTCTCATTATGCTTGTTGTGTGTTCTTATACATTTTTTATAACACAGTTTGGCTATTTTGACAGTTTTGAGATATACGGTTACCATGGAAATTGTCATTTTACAAAAAAATCCAACACGTCAACATATATTTTTCTTTTTAGTTTTGAATTCTTTGTATAAATTTTACTCATGATACAAAAAATATATAATCTTATGAAATATGATAAACAAGATCAACAAGGAAAGGCGGCACAATGCCCATACGACCAGCGGCAAGGAGCCCAGGCGAACCCCAAACAAAAACAGGACAGGGCACAAGACAAGAGCACGGAGAGGCTAATTGTCAAAATAATCATACGATATCAATGTAGATAGTTTTTTACAACGAGTCAGCGATACACTGAAGTGTAGCAGGTTTCAATGTACAGTTTCATTTATAAACCTGTTGCTGGGAGTATAAAATATATCGACATGTAAAGGTCAAATCGTTTAAGCTAGTTTGAGAGATTTTACATCAGTTAGTTTAGGAGAGACACGCTAATAGTGTGTAGCGTTTTGTTTTTTTTTTTTTGTTGAGAAGAGAATTTTTTTTGTTTTGAATGGAGTTTTGTTGACTTGTTGAAGTTGGTTGAATATAATTGTTGTGATCTTAATTGATCAGGGTTTATTGGTTGTAATTAGTTGTTTTTATTGTTGAGTTATATCTGTTTGTGAAGATATAATTGGTTGATATTGGTTGA